GCACCTTTTCCCAGTTGGAACAGAAAGAGTATAACAATTTTGAGACTGGAGGGAATATTTCTGAAGGGTCATGTGACACTGAAGACTGGAGTAATGATGCTGAAAATTCAGCTTTACCAACACAGAAATAAATTGCATTTTAAAATATATTCAAATACGAAAGAGTTATTTTAAATTGTAAAAACATTTCACAATATTAAATTTTTTGCTGTATTTTGGATCAAATAAATGAAGCCTTGGTTAGCAGAAGAGACTTATTTTAAAACATTAAAAAAATCTTACCGTTCTAATAATTTTGAAAACCGCTGTACTTTTGGACTTGTACAAACTTACACGATATCATGCAATATTTTAAAGCCAGCCAACCAAACTCTTCGCATCAGGAGTAAAATCCCCAAAGCCTCTACAACCGACTATATGGGTTGTGCTTGTACAAACGCAAGTCTTTAATTACAATCTGCAACCGTTGCTATAGATAACTGGCAGCGCAGAAACAAACCCTTTAAAAAACAAAGTTTCCATTAAACCGCACTGTGACTCCACCCCTGCTGAAATACAAAGAGCTTTGTTTTCACACTCACTAATTGTCAAAGTTCAAGGAGCACTGCACAATCCACTATAGACTGAATGCATGGTGCATGATGAAATGAATGCAAACTTTGCTTGTTTTAATTGCTTTTTAAAGCAACTATAAACATAAAATGCATTTGGAGATAAGCTGGTTGCGACCAAGAAACCAGGGACCATGCCTGATCAAGATTGAATTACTTGGTAGATACTGTAAATAATACATGCACAGTCAGAGTCAACTAAGGTGTTGTATTTTTCACATGTAAACTGAATAATACGATATTAAATCTAGACATTTAAAGCAATTTTTTTTAAGGGATTACCAAAAATAGTGGAATAACATTTAAGCAACATCCATTGATATAACTTTTTCATTTATACCAGAGGTAAACATTTAGTTTTTGAAAACAGAAATAGGTTCACATCAGAAATAAGGAGTGTTGTTACTAAGCCGTTAGGAGAGAGACCCAACATATCCCACACTTTCTTGCACAGTTTTGTAGGTCTGCTATGAAAAGTTGCTTTTCATGCAGGCCTCGACATTAAGCCTTGTCATGTGCTTATCCTTCAGACAAGTAAATCAGTCATTCACTTGTCCGAAAAAAAAAAAAAGTCACTTGCCCTGTGGGGAAGAATTTTGGTGGTGTAAACATAATTTATTCTGATGCAATATTTTCATCAGTGTTCTATCAGCTTTACTTAAATCTGCATATGTTTGGCATTGACCCCTGGGCATTATTTTCCTTTATAAAGGTCCATTTTTTAACCTTATAAAATGTATGTGCCATCTTTCATGCCAAATTCTTGCATTTGATCAATAAATTAAATTATTATAATAAGGCACTATAGGGCTGTTACCAATCAAATCAAATAATTTACACTGCAATAAATAATGTTATGTTTTAAATACATTTTTGTATATACAAATCATAAGAAACGTTGAAAAAAATGCAATGATACTTTTAAATATGACACTTAAACACCAGTAGGTGGCGGCAAATCATTTAATGAATGAGTCATTCATTCAACCAATTCGTTCAAAACGCTAAATCCTTTAGTAACAAAACACCGCTGATATGAGTGTTGCTTTGAGAATGCGCACAATAGGCTAGTTCTGCTGTTTGTGATCTTTGTTTGGAGAAATAGAACAAAAACAGTCAACATTGTGTCTAAAATGTAAGTAACTAACTTGTTTTTTTAACTATTAAATCAATGTAACATTTGCAATAGTGATTATTCGGCAAAACAACTCCCTTGGTCATATTATACTCAACATTTCGATTTTGTTTACATTATTTATCTCAGGTTTTGTACAACCTTTTGAGTGAAATTCAAGCACTTTTCAAAGGCTTTACATTTTTTCCAGCACTTCAGAGCTCTAAATATTACCCTATTTGAATGCTATTTTTATTGTGATGATTTTTAAAACTCAAAGTTTTACTAAAACTTTGATTTAATAATGAAAGTACCATTATAACCAGTAGATGGTGGTGACAGAGGAGCACTTATTGAATTATTAGCCATTTCCACTCCCTAATATATGGAAAAACTAGGAAGTCATAAAGTCTCCTGAAAAAAAAAACTTTCCTTCAAATTGTGACTGAATTACAAAGAAAACAAGCAAGAGCGATTCTTTTATAATCACTCAAGCTGTCGGTCAGTTCAGTATGATACTATAAGAGAATAATGGTACATTTAATAATAGAATAATATTTTAATTTTCCCTATAAAATGAGTTTTTTGCACATTACTGTTGTTAATAAAAGTTCATTTTATCTGCATTCTCAATTCAAGCTCAGAGCTATTTAAATGACGTTTAACGAGACATTATTTTTCATTCAAGTTTTTGTCACCATTTCTGAACAAGCTTTTACAATTAGGCAATATGCACAACAAGCTTCCGTTATCTCAAGGTTTTCTTTTAGTTGAAAACATTAAATATCTGTAAACAAAAAATTTAAAGAACAAAAGCCTTTAAGCTCAAGCAGCGCAAACGGGAAAACGCTAATAAAGCAGACTGCGCCAGTTATCGTACAGGTTTAAAAACAGAAAACGCAAAGTGCTGTTAGAAACTTCGCCTAGCACGCCGTTATCTGTGTTTCTGCAACGTCTGTCAGCGGAGTGCGTTTTCTCACCTGAGCATGTGGATATTGTTTTTCTCAACATGAACATGTGAAGCAATATAAACACAATAAGCATATGCTGACTCGAGTACATGAATTTTCTTATTGTGCATTTGTATTTATAGTAAAAAAAATGTATTTAGGCTACTGTTTTTCATAAGAAATACCATAAAAACCATCTAGAACTATAACTTTACATTTTACCATGGTAGGGAGGTGCATGTGCGTGATTTTACCAATGGTTATCCTGATCTAAATACATGATACTGTAGACGGCTAATGGTCAATTTTAATGAAAGTGGAATCAAAATCGCTAAAGTTCAAACGATATCAAACCTAATCACGAGTCACGAGCACCACCTTTTGTGGTCGATATGCGCCCTCAATGTGTGCACTGAAGCGAGCTTCGCGTCACACTTCTACCAGACAGTCAACAAAGCAGCATTACGCCGCAAAAGTGCAGACTCATAAGAAGACCGAGATCGTTTAGGGTGCCATTTGGGAGTTGGGACAGGGCCTAAAAGGTATTTTACTTGCTGAAAAAAGTATGAACCAGGGCAAAAGGCACATAGAATATTGTTTTCAACAGGTTTTTCAGCAAAATTTGGATCATGCTAATAATTTAGAGGCCTTAGAAATTCACATCACGATACTGAAGGCTTCATAGGGTTAAACATGCAATATTACCACATTTCTACACATCGGCACTCCCTGTATTCCCAGTAAAATCTATTCTCACATGTAACCACTAAAATTTTAATAGTGTTGTCGTGTGACTAGTTCAGTTTGGACTTGATCACTTTTGCAAGACTCTGGAACGTTGAGATATCTCACTGTAGTTTTTACTCCCTTTCTTCCTGTTATTGTTCATTTTGTAAAGCATTTTTCTGCAGCACACTGTGCCGCTAAGACTGTTGACGTGAAGCTTCCACACTCCAGGCATGGTTTCGCTGTCACTCTCGCCACTGACTCCTGTGGCATTTCACCCATGCTTTGCTTATCAGTCATCCTGAACATAAAAGCTGCATAAAGTAAGGAACAATATACAGCGATGCTCCAAAAGCTAGGGAAAACTAGAGCTCACAGCTGCCATAGTGTCTCTCAAAATTTGAACATCATAGTAGAGGATTCTACTTTCTACTCCAGGATTTTACTTTCATCTACTCTTAAAGAAGAAGAATGAAAACAGCATTGGAACTAGCCTTTGTTCCCTCATCAGTGTCATATTTATAAGAAAAGGCAGAAGTAGCTCAGATGTCTAGGACAGCAGGGCCAACTAAAGGACTATCTGTTGCTGAAGGAAGCAGGAAATCTGTCAACCAGTCACTGGATTTCAAAAGCTTCCACTGCATAATTTCCTCTCTTCCCAAGTGCATCTCAAACAAGTGCTTTAAGTCACACATTAGAAAGCTGAATGAGTCATTTTAACTTCTGCATTGCAAGTGTTGAATCACTCTGACAAAGCCAGCAAGAACCAAACCCTTAATGACTATATACTCCCGCCCTACCACGAAAAAAAGTCAAATCTCCACATAAACGATTTTTAGTATGATGGGTTCTTGACAGTTGGCCATGCTAAACTAGCCTATATTCCCAAAGCATCCCAAAACAGACAAAAGCTTTCTGTAAAACCTGTGGTTGATTACTACAAATAGTTAAATATTCCCAAAGCATCCCAAAACAGACACAAGCTTTATATACAACCTGTGGTCGATTACTACAAATAGTAACACTTAAAAAAAACTTTTAACTGCTTATCACTCAATTAAGTGTCATATAATCGATATTATAGAGGGTTAGAAATGTTGACTAATGTATTCGTTTTTGCAATACCACCTCAGTTGTTAAGCAGTATTACTTATATTAATGTTAATTGATATAAAGTGTTACCTTATCAATAATTACTCGAAAGCTCCTCATTACCGTAATATGATATTATTAAACCAAACAACAGTCGCATGTATAACAGAGTATTGAAGTTCATTCTGCAGTTTCTAAAGATTACCGTTAGCTAACTAACATTAGCCTGTCAAACAATGCATGGGTTTACTTAACTTACCTGCTTACCAGCTACTTGTACACGCTTCACAAGCAGTCAGAGGCTAATCGTAGTGATTTAAATGTGAACACATACGATAAATTAATCTTTGGCAAGAAACACGCGTTAAAGAGTCAGTTTACATCTCGCAAATGATCTGTCTTCAATCTCCTTAGTAGTATTAAATGCTGCATTCGTTGGGTTTCTAAAGTAAACACACCACCGATGTCATAAGCGAATAACAGTTTGTGGGTTAATCGTTCACTCACCGGTGGAATCCCCATCATCATCATCATCATCATTACCATCATCTTCACGCACGATTCAGCCATTTAACGTTAACGTTAACTCCACGGGTACAATCCAACACACTTCGCGTCATATAAAGCAAGCGATAATGTATTTGACATCTGCAGGAAATGTCCAGGAACAGCTAGGCCATTTTCCTGTGTTCCACAGAAGTGAAGGAAGAAGTAGTTTGCGCGACAGCTCTCGTATATCCCTCCCCCAAAGGTTTAATGGAGAAGGTTACTACGAACTGCAGCAAGGGTGTGACATTTTGGCTCAAGCTACGCTGAAGTGGCGTGAGATTCCCACGCTAGCAACTTACAGTTGAGCCAAGATGGCGTCTGTTTCGTAACCTTGTGTGCTAAGCGTTTCACAGCGGGTGACACCATCGTGCCTCTGGATTCAGACTAGAGGAAACATTACCGCGGGGCGGCACCCGAGTCGACGTGACGTCGTTACAACGCAACAATGTATCATATTTAGCGATCAAATTCTTCTCATGTAGGTACTGTATGCATAATAGCACAAATGTTTAATACTTGCATTTGTACGAAAGTGTATATATATAGGCCTATTTTTTTTTTTTAATATGGATCAGATTCACATTGGCATTTGGCAATAAACTCGTAAGGAATAAACATTTTGTTACAGCTCTTGTGAAACTGGGCAGTGTGAGTATAGGACACATTTGTTTGATTGACTTTAGATTTCAGTTTCATACATTTTAATCATACATTTAACTGAATCAGTAGTTGCTGCAAATGTGTCTTTGTAGTTAAAATTCCTGAATTAATTTCAGTTGTATAGTTTATTTTATTGTCCCACTTTGTTTTTATATTAGTTTATTAAGCTTCAAGAGCTGATTGAATTGGTACTTTAAAATCCTGAATGTTTTGGAGAAAAATAAATAAAGAAATTGCACTTGCTGCTATTTTGCTACTGGCATGCCACCAGTTTATCGATATCCAAACATGTGGGCTCTCAAGCATTTAGTTCTCAAATATAAAACGTTATAATAAGTATTTTAAAGAGTCTTAAAAATAGGCAAACTGTAGGCCGAAATGATAGTCTACAAAGTGGCCTGAAAGGCAGGGTTTATCAACAGTGTTATTTCCTTAAGTGAAACTAGGCCTAATGCAAATATTAAACGTGACAGCAATGTCAAAAGAAAAACATTGTATCTCTGTGGTGAAGAAATACATCCCTACCCTTAGAGAATCCTATTGTAATGTGGAATACTTGTCTCCATGATATTATAATAGGCTATAAAATAATAATTAGATTAATTGATTGGACGCTCCAGGAAGGTTACCAAGCAACGTCAACTTAAATCTATTAATATTCATGAGCTATTAACATTCGATTCAGTTCCCCTAGTTTCACTCTCTGATTAAAGTGCGACACCAAGTGTTCATTGCGATAAGCTGCATGCTGCATAATATTTTTTTCAGTCAAATGCATTTTACGCATATATTTATGCTTTTGTTAGCTTACTTATCTTACTTTGTTAGCTTATTTATCATTTTTAAACCCATTAAACTAATTAAAATCGTTTCAATGCCGTTTCCTTATGGAGTATGTGTGCAATGTAGTCACTTGGTGGCACTAACCATATCAGACTGTTATGTTACTCCTGCTGCAACAGCATTATAAATCCAGAATCTGAAAAGCCAGTACACAATCTTCTGGAAATTACCAGAATTTCAATGACCACTGAACTAAAATGCATGGTTTGTAAAGTATAGGATGCCAGGAGTCAACTGATTCACAAGAACTTCAATATTAAACTAATAACTTGATCCCACCCCAAAACAGCACTTAAAATGTTATTAATCTAATTCAGTTCCCTTTTAAACTAATAAAAATGAATGCAAGCAAACAAAGTTCGCCATAGAAGCAGGCTTTCAAGAGCCATGTTCGACACTGATTAAAGTGTTGGAGGTAAATGCCTATATACTTGATGAGAAAGCCTTCGAGATGTAGCCCCAGCTGCTAGTGGGACAGAAGAAGAGGATGAGCAGAAGGAAAAGCAGCATGAACACAACACTGACAGATGCAGAGATGCCATTAATCAGATACGTCACTACATTCAAATCAGCACATAGATTTACAGTGACATTACCTTAGTAAATCTAAATTTTGCTGGCCCTAAGACAGATTAAACCTTTTATATGTAGTTACGTAATTGGACATAATTATACATTATGGATATAATTGTATTGGATTACACATATTAGGTAATATATTCTGATCACTTGCATAGTTAAAGTATTTATCTGACAAAATTATTTTGCAGCAAAAAGGCAGACCATCTACAATAGTCTGGTTTTAATACTACGCAAAAAAAGCAGCATAGAAAACCAGACAGATCACAGGAAAAAGCATGCATTGACTACATCATAATCAGTTATTATCATAATTTTGCTGGTTCTCTCTTTTTTATTATTATCAATAATATTAATTCTTTCTATGACAGTCTGGCCAAAGATTATGTTCACACAATTGCGTTATCACAAATAAAACAATTGTCTCCAAGCACAACTATGCAATATTCTTACAAAATTAAAAATAATAATAATAATGTGTGAATTAAGGGTGAAAATAGCAATTTTCCTTGACCAGACATAACTTTTGGTCACTACTGTAGATCATGAAATGCATTAAACATTACATTACACCAGGGTTTCCCAAACTAGAGTTTGTTAAAAAAAAAAACTAAAAAAAAAAAAACTGGTGGGTTGTGAGTTAATGAAAAGCTAATAGTTAATGAAATCATTAAAATGTGAAATTCAAATGAATAAATAATTTAAAATAAAAAACAGTCCAAATAAAAACACTTGAACAGTAAAAATAGAGATACATCATTTGTTAACCTGCATGTCAACGTGACCATAAGCTGGCATCAGAGAACCTTGAACATGCAAATGTGTTATTAAATTCTTGAAAAATCAACTTCAAATATCAGGGGGACTTCAACTAGAAAAATTTAGGTCAAAGGGGTTTGGCTGACAAAAAAAGGACCTGCGTTGCATGAACAAACATTACAGTTTTTCTCGATTGCTTAAACACATTTCTTGAAACTATGCCTCGTATTCTCAAAACAGTAAACACAAATCCATAACGTCTCACACAATTCCCCAAACATCCTATTTTCAGGTCAAAATGAAGCTCTACACTCATAACCATTCACTCTTGCTGAAAAAACAAACTTTGCCCTCAGACAGCACACACAAGCCCTCAAAATACACACACTACAACATAGTCTTACACACTGGTGCTATAAATTCAAAACAACATTTCCAAAACATTCCCCCCCCCCAAAAAAAATCTTCTTTTTTACTACCTCCTACTCTTACGTAAGATGTGTGTGAGCATCATATGACAGTAAAAGAGCACACACAAACCTGATTGAAATCTGGAATTGTATTGGAATGGTAAAGAGTGTTGGTACATGCCTCCACTCAAGGATACAATATGATGAACAAGTCTAAGAATGTTCCACATATGGTTGAAATACCATCATTGGCCTAGAAAGATAACATTCTGGGAGTCAAGACTATAAAGGAGAAAGGATGCCCTCCCTTCACTGTCACACTCTGCAGCCACTCTGTGTGACTGTACGACTGCTGGCCTTTCCTTGCAAGAACATAAACCTCATCAAAGACAATTGGAAATGTTTGTCTCTTATTCAGTGATATTCAGTGATAAGGTTCAACCCTCCCTGAAGGATCTGATGATGGAGGCGACGGGGAAGCGGCTCAAATTTGTCTGTACTCGTTGCCCAGCCTCCCTCAGTCATACCATGGAGAAGGACATGGCCAACTAATTTCATCTGAGACTGCTTGTCTTCTTGCCCTTGCTCCTCCTCCTCTTCCTCCTCCGCCTCTTCCTCCTATTCCTCCTCCTCCTCCTCTCCCTCCTCCTCTTCCTTCTCCTCTTCCGCCTCTCCCTCCTCGACCTATTGCTTAATTTCTCTGTGGATCCATTGTTACAAAACTCAGTAAACTGATTTTTATCTTTTATAAAAGATTGTATAACCTTTTATCTATCTATTGAAGGATCTGACTGATGTGTGTTCAATTTTGACTCTTAGTGTTTTCACCTGGGTAATTGTGTGCTAACTGAGCTGAAGCTGTGCTGACTTGAGTGAACAATATTGAATGCTAGTGCTTTCTAAATAACCACGTGGTGTAGGCAATGAGAAATGCAGGGATTTGTGTGTAGAGTTTTTGGGAATAGTGTTCAGTGAAATGGGTGTGCTTTTTGATAAATGGCAGTATAGTTTTGAAATTTTAGTTCAAAAGCCTGGTTATAGTGTTTAAACAATCGAGAAAAACTGTAATAGACCAAAGTCTTTCAGGTCTGAAATATTTTGTCCAGACTTCCAGAATTAGTGAAGATCACTGGTTATGATGAAGACATTCAAAGCTATACATCGGCAGTGTTTAACTTACATAATTATTCGTCTCATACATGGTGTAATTGTTTGCTTTTCTCCAAAATAATTCAGAAGAATTCAAAAGATTTAAAAAGGCTCAAAGACAACACATGATTCTTTTAGCATTTTTATATTCGTATTCAAGGTTCCTGTAGCAATCTGTCAACTATTGCATGCCACAATCAATCACAAGGTTTCCCTGATGTTCTCTCAACAGCTTATTTTTTGTCTGAGACTTTGTTACATAAATGACTCGTTAGGGACTCCACTTTAAACTTCTCTTGCACATCATTCGCTTTCTCATAGAATAAGACTTACAGTAGCTTCCTCCAATCATTGTCATCTCTAGAAGCATCTCTGAACCTGACCAAGGCTGCTAAATGCACATTCAACAAAATTAGCAAAAGCAAAACTTGATCCCAATGCTACAACAAGCAAAAGCAATCATTCAAACAATGCTGAGATTTGTTTTTCTACTCTTTTGTGTGCCGCTACTGTCCAGATGTTGAGAGCGAAAAAAAACATTTGAACTGTTTTTTATTTTAATATGTAATATATTTCTGTGATGCAAAGCTGAATTTTCAGCATCATTACTCCAGTCTTCAGTGTCACATGATCCTTCAGAAATCATTCTTATATGTCGATTAAGATATATGCTGCTTAATATTTTTGTATAATGTGGTACATTTTTCAGGATTCTTTGATGAATAGTTCAAGTTCAAAAGAACAGCATTTATTTGTAATAGAAATCTTTTGTGGCATTCTAATGTAATATCTTTACTGTCAATTTTGATCAATTTAATGTGTCTGACCTCAGACTTTAGATTCGATCCACTTTAGTTAACATTGCCTGCATAGTGTATACGTTAAAGACAAACATTTCAAAGTAGATGTAAAGGTGATGTTCAAGGTCAGTGTAGATGAAACACTATAATCCACACA